CGCACTGAACTCGGTGGGACCACAAGAGAAATTTCGGACTTGGCCTCTACTCAAGAATAGATATTTTATATATCTTAATATAGACAATAGGTAACTAGCGTAGAGTTTAGACTAGATTATTTAGTAGTCTATATAATTTTTACAATCCAGCACAGATTTAATAGTGCTTTCTTTGTTTTCTTTTCTTTTATTTTGTTTTTCTTTTATATGTTTTTTGGTTTTATTTGTTTAGGTGGATCGAATATGGACGCCAAGGTATCACCCCTTTTTTTTTTCTTTGCCCTTTGTTTTGTGTCTATATTTCGTAGAAAAGATGATACTGATAGGCGTGTAGCACCAGCCAATAATCAAAGGATTCATGCCTCTAGGAAGTTAGAGGCCCAGAGGGAAGCAAACAGCCACTAGACGATGTCGCACTTGGGCTTTAGCTGAGTAAGTCACTTGTTGTGGTTAAAGAAAGATTAGCTATAGTTAAATTCTTGTAATTTTACTTGGTTACCATCTTAATAAAACAGTGGCAGGATATGCCAAAAAAAAAAATAAAATAAAATAAAATAAAATAAAATCATATAAAGTGAAATAAACACAATATTTATAGTATTATATCTAAACTTTAATTTACAATCTATAAATTAATTTACATTGTCAATACAAATATATAACAAGGGTTTGGGCCCTATAGCTTAGCGGTTAAGCTGCCAAACTCTCACAGACTAGGTCGATGGTTCAAGTCAGGCTGGAAGCAAAATCTTAGGATTTTTAGCTTCTGTAACCCAATAGGGGGTCATAATTGAATGCGGAGCCCTGTGGTTAAGTCCAAGTACAAGTACGAAACCGAAAAAGAAAATTCCTGGAAGGAGGTCTAATCATGGAGTGGTGGCACTACGTATGACAGGTCATGGAAGGTTCTGTTATATGAAAGATTGCGTATGTTAGTCCTCGATTAGGGTGATCAGACAGCACTAACATCCTCAGCGGTTGGAATACTTGATTGGGAGAGTGACACAACGGTAACAAAACTGGAGTAGTGAGAAAAGTGGTGAACACAAGGACAACTTGTGGTAAAGGATTGGTCTATTCAGAGTTTGGAAGCACCTCTGGCCTCAAGCCACTTGGCCTATTAAGGAAGAAACCTGTGAGGACAGAGCAAGAAGGCTGAAACTCAAGGTACGTGGTAAAAACTCAAAATAGCTAGATTCACCGAGCTGGTAATACAATTATACAAATCGTGCTTGTATACCAGAAATTGATAAGGAACACCAAATACTGAAATTGGAAGTATTACAGACCCAAGCCACAACTAAGTCTAGACCCCTAGAGCTCTGTAACCAAAAATGTCAGAGCACTAGAACACTATAGCTCAAACTATGGAAGAGAAGTAATATGAAACCTGCAATCTGGAAGTTATAGGTAACCTATAACGCAATATGGCATGCCTGCACCAACACACGGGAGTACCTATCTATAAAGGTAATGGGAATTAGCAGCATATTAACTAAACTAAGTGTTAATGACGAGGCTTAACCTGGGCCAGCATGAGTTCCTCTTCATGATACTACCTGAGCAGACTAGTTGAAGATAACCAAGATTGGAAGTAGCCCTTAAGGCTACAAGGCTATATCCCAGAAAAGACTACCAAATTTGGGAGCTTTGATATAAGTGGTATGAGAGATGCGAGGAATGATGTCATAGGGAAGTGTATCAAAATAGGACTAGTAAAGGGTGAAAAAATACCAGGTGAGTGCTATCCATAAGGATGTACCACTCTGGTAGGTTTGGATCGCAGATAATGGATTGATGGCCAGATAGCGGATGGGGACACCTATCGTGCAAGTGATGGTTTCGGCCAAAGTGTAGGTAACCAATAGGATTCGAGTCTGAGCTTGGTGTACTTGATATATGTAAATATGAAAATGTAGTAATACATGTAATGAAAGTATTAACAATAAATAAAGTCATAGGCAAAATTCCACCTGAACACCAAAAAAAAAAAAAAAATTCTAAAATTTAAATTATTTTTGAAATCTGGTTTTTCTGATATTTAAAAGTAGATTATTTTTAGTAGTAATTATATTGTAGATTATATGATATCATATGCTTTACATATAAACATTATAAGATTTGACCAATAAAAACTTGTATAATCCAAAAAAACATAAAATGATCTTAAAAACCTTGATTATATATCAAGTTTATTTTTTTTAAAACAATGTATATCCTGCAACTTCACTATTATAAACAAACTAGTTTAAGCTATATATTATATAAATTTGATAAAAATTAACAGAGATGTTAAAAAGTTTAATCAGAAGTATTTTTTTATTTACTAATAAAAATTCAATATACCATGCAGATTATATGAAAAATAATCTATGTACACCCTACTCTTAAAATTAGCGTTAGTTATCTATACAGTATTAATGATATATAAACAATTATTGTGACGGATTAAAATGAAATCAGATTAAAATGAAATGAGAGATAGTGTAAAATAGACAAGCCACCGAAAAATACCAATTTTTGGGGGTGCACTTTTTTAGCATTTTTTTGAGGGTTAGGATTAGGGTTTAGGGGTAGGTTTTATAATAAACAAGTATAAGTGGGTTTAGGAGGACAAATAGAAACCTCTCATTTCATTTTAATCCGATCCGATTTCATTATGATCCGCGACAATTATTATACTAATCCTACCTACTCACTAATTCTTAGCGCTTAAGAATTTTCTGAATTAGAATATCCTAATTTGAAGTATGACATACGACATACGTATTCATAGTTATCTATTGCATGTCTAAATATTTTCCATGCCTCTATCCTTCATCTTATAGCAAGGTTAAGATCTAAAATATTTCATAAATGAACTAGGGATTTTTTTAAAACAACTCTTAGATTTCACGTTACAACTGATCTTGCAATTTAATTAGCTGCTACAAATTTTTTGAATATTCTTGGATGGTCGAAATCCGTCTCTAATTTTAAAATTCTGTAAGTTGAGCTTTCAACATCCTTACATTACAGAAATTATGAGTATAAAAACTTATCATTTACCGTATTTTAGCGTAATAACGCGCAGGGGTGTAATTTCGAATTTGGCCTAAATTAGCTTAATTCGGGCCAAAATTCGAAATAACGCTCATAGGTGTTATTAGTGTTATAAATTCAAAAGATTTTATTGGCGCAAACGCAACAAAAATATGAAATTTATGCGCGCTTTATATATACGGAGAGCGCTGATATATGCGCAAATTTAAATCTATGTACACCGCGCCTACTGCGCGGATCCAATTTCCATCACTGCGAAAATACGGCATATGGGGTTTAATCATCCACTAAAGAAATTCATTCAAATTATGTATTTGCAGATAAAAGATTATAATGTCTCCTGAAAGCAATGATCAGAATAAATCATGAAAATGATGCTAATGATATTGATTATACAAGGTTAAGTCAGGAAAGCCTAATATCGGTATTAATAGTTTTGATAATACAAAACGTGAAATTTCTTCAATGGAACTTTAGCCAATAAACACAATAAGAAAGAAATTTCAATCATATACTTGAATCAAATCCTGTGCATGCAATTTTTAGAAACCGTTCTTTGTATTATATCTGTTGGACAACAAGTCATTTAGAACCATCAATTTTAGAACAACTCGTTAAATATTTAATTGTGAATTTATAGTGATAGAACCAATGAATGGAAATATGTACTAAGTCAGAAGACAGTGGTACTGAGAAAAAGGAATAATTAAAATACTTTCAATATTTATTTAAAATTTGCTTTGCTTGACATAGTATTACTGCAAGAAACACGTGATAAGGGACAAGATTTTTCCGCTTCGCTTGTTATACTTGCTATACTATCGATGACTCAAAGAATATTTATTAAACTTTCAAGGGTTCATCAATACAAGATATGATTTGTCAATAAGATATCCTATGGAATTGATTTAAACGTAAGTAACGGCAATTCTCCATTTTTGTTCCATTTCACATTGCACTCCCTTGAATTGTCGATATCTTCTTTGGTTTAATATCGGTAAGCGAATAATCAATAGTATTCATTAATATGAATGTAAATTTTTATTGCAAAGATGACTTTGAAATAATACTATTGAACGTGAAATTTCTTAAATTCTACCTTATTATATTCATGATACACACGAATAGTTTGTAGATAAATTTTGAAAAATGTCTGACGCGGAAAAAGACATGGTTAAAAAAGAAATTTCACCGAGTGGAGAAAGCGATGCGGTTTACAAGATTTTTATATTTCTAAAACTTTTTTTTTGGTGTATATAATGTCTCATTTGATTATTTCTCTCTTTAAATTTTCGTAAATGTAAATCCAATTCATTTATAAAAAGGTAGTACCTTCACTAAAAAAAAAGTCAAGAAAACGAACTACCATGAACTCTAATAACATCACAGAAGAAACCATTGCAGTTCCTTCCTCTGTTGCCGAACCAAAATCTAAACGAACTAAAACCGGTAACAAGAAAATAGTTAAAAAAGAATTATCAAATGAAGAGATCAATGATATAGTTACCAAAATTGAAGTCGATCATGATGGTGGCAATAAAACGAAAGATGAAAGTAATAGTAAACCCAAAAGGAAGCTTGGAGCTTGGACACCCGAAGAAGATAGATTGTTACTGGAATCATTGGAAAAGATTGCCGGAGAAGGCAAATGGAAACGAGTTTCTGAAATTATGAATAATGGAAGAAATAATGATAACTGCCGTCATAGATTTAACCTTTTGAAGAATCAGCTTGTTAAGGGTGTTCATCCTAATTGAAGTTTTTCTTAGTGCTAATTTTACTGAATAAAGGTTAGGATTTTGGGTGTACAATATGCCAAATGAATTGTGTTTCCAAGATCTCTATATTTCTCTACATACTAGATATATTGATATGTATGTAGTGGTAAATCGGCCTACAAGTCCTGACCATATACTTGATTATTACAAAATGACTGTATTTAAATCTCTTATGAAACGCAGTATTATCGTATAAACTTTAGTCATAAAAAGTAGGCATCAATAAGGTTTTAGATGCAAGTCTGAGCGTTGAAATTAAACAAAATTATTAACATGTTTTAGACGGTTATCTAGCAATTTCCAAGAACGATATTTATAAAAATCAGTTATGTATACATAGTGATAGTACAGTAAATCTTTGTTTAATAAATTAAGTATCATACGTATCATTAATTGCTAACGTTAATACTTTGCTATACAATTCTCGTAATCGAATTTTTACGATTTTATATGATTGGCTAACTTGTCAATAAAAAGTTTTTGTATTTGTTAAGTACGCACGCACGTACGTATTCAATATACATTATATACCTGATACTGTAAAAAATTGTAAAATTTGTTGAATCAAAATTTCACTTTGACATAATTTGTTATCGTTATTTAATATATTCGATATATACGAACCCCTAAATACTGATTGTTTTTTTAGGATGGGCAACAAAAAAAATCAAAATTAGAAGACTATGACTTATCAGAAAAGGTGTAGAACTGGCAAAAAAAAATTGTTGCCTCTTTTCATCCGAAACGTATAATCCTCCCGACTCTGATTGAAATCACGTTAAGAATTTTACGTAATTTTGTGTAATTTTGCGTAAGTTTGTACGCTCATATGATTATGCAAATCTACTGTTATCCAATAATGCTAGCTGAGTTTTTCATAGTGCTGGTACTATATATCACGTGTGAAATTTACATGAAATCCATGTTACTG